CACTACATCAGTTGACGACGGTGGTGGGCTCTCATATTCCCAGCGCACCACGACAATAGTGGGCACCCAAGGGAGCATGAAACCTACGACGGCGGGCACTACATCAGTTGACAACGGTGGTGGGCTCTCATATACCAGCGCACCACGACAATGATGGGCACCCCAAGGGGAGCATGAACCTACGACGGCGGGCACTACATCAGTCCACGACGGTGGTGGGCTCTCGTATACCAGCGCACCACGACAATGATGGGCACCCAAGGGGAGCATGAACCTACGACAGCGGGCACTACATCAGTCCACGACGGTGGTGGGCTCTCATATACCAGCGCACCACGACAATGATGGGCACCCAAGGGCAGCATGAAGCTACGACGGCGGGCACTACATCAGTCCACGACGGTGGTGGGCTCTCGTATACCAGCGCACCACGACAATGATGGGCACCCAAGGGGAGCATGAACCTACGACGGCGGGCACTACATCAGTTGACAACGGTGGTGGGCTCTCATATACCAGCGCACCACGACAATGATGGGCACCCAAGGGGAGCATGAACCTACGACGGCGGGCACTACATCAGTCCACGACGGTGGTGGGCTCTCGTATACCAGCACACCACGACAATGATGGGCACCCAAGGGCAGCATGAACCTACGACGACGGGCACTACATCAGTCCACGACGGTGGTGGGCACTGACATACCAGCACACCACGACAATGATGGGCACCCAAGGGCAGCATGAACCTACGACGGCGGGCACTACATCAGTCCACGATGGTGGTGGGCTCTCGTATACCAGCGCACCACGACAATGATGGGCACCCAAGGGGAGCATGAAGCTATGACAACGGGTGCCACAGCAGACAACAACAACTAGTCTTAGAGATCGAGCCGAGTTGTCAATCACTGTAATGCTAAGGGCATATATAATAGATGGACGAGCTGAAGTCCGTCGACTTCAGCTAGCGTCTTATATACTACTGCACAAGTACTTGTACTAGAACTTTCCAGTAGTCCCTACAGCGGTCTATACTATTCTACAATGTTCCATAGAGTCATAACAAGTCATGTCCAAGTCGCAACCTGAGTTGCAGTCGCTTAGTCATACTAGTACATCGGCATCTGAGTTGTCAAATGCCGCATTTGTCAGTGTCATGAGTAAGCATTCATGACAATGAACAGATCACGAGGTTTGATTCCCATGCTTGTGGCTGAAGCGGCACCACCATGTAAGGATCAAGGCACGTGACTAGCATTTCGAGGTTACGGCTAAGAGACAATAAGTTGTGTATGCAACAAAATGAATGATCTAAAGATTATGTAGGCTACTGGTCAATTCGTAAGAACATCCAAGGCGTGTATGATAATAGAAGGCATATTATAAGGACTGTATAAGGACACGATATTGAGTTTGCATGGTCAATGGCATTGAGAGAAGGCTTGACGAGCCTAGTTCTTCCGCGCACGCCTGGATAGGGCAAGTTAACCACACACCATCCATAGTTTTCAAAGCCGAACTTACTTTCGCATCCTTCCTTCCGCCTTCGAATTTCCCTCGTCTTTTCTCTTCTTAGGGGACTCAAGACGTGTAGGCGTGCACTCAGACGCCGCAGGTGCATAGTCCAAGCGGAGCATCCACGCGACATCATCACATGCGCTGTCGAAGCCTCCGGGGACGGAACCTTCGGCGATCAAGCACCATGCCAGGCAGAGCACAACCATGTAGAGACCGTTCGGTCCACCTCTCTGTGCGGACCATTCAGGAATGGTTCCACTCATGGTGGGCCTCCTCAGCGGTAGTTCCGTGCCCTCGCGCCACGAAGGTTGGATGTCGCACCACCACGCTGTCCAATTCTGGAGATGGCTCGTGGCAGGGCCGGTCGGAGGGGGCTTCGTCAGCTTCCGCCCCCGGCCAAGCCAATGGCGCACAGCTTCAGGCCGTTTCTTCGACGTAGTGAGGGCTTTCTGCATAGTAATAAGTACAGATATAATATGTTGGATAAGTACTCACCGTCTCCGCGAATCCCAGGGATATCTCGAAATCCGCGTAGGCGGCCAAGAGCCTTTTGAATGCCAAACCTCCGTGCTCGAGACTATCCATCCAGGACATCGAGCTGGTGAACCACTCTGGATAGGGCCCAGCGACAGCATCGGCAATGGTCTTCGAGGTAGCGCTGTCCGCGCTTGGGCTGTGGCTTCCCCCATTGCTGACAGACTTCGCATGGTTGTCATCGTCCCCTGTGAGCGTATCCATGTCGATGTCTGTCGTCGGTGCCGGAGAAGTCGCAGCAGCATCGTCGGCGGACGTTGCAGCAGTGTCGTCAGCGGATGTTGCAGCAGTATCATCAGCGGAGGCCGCGGCAGTATCGTCGGCCAACTTCGTGGAGGTATCGTTGGCCGACGTCGCGGCGGTATCGTTGGCCGACGTCGCGGCGGTATCGTCGGCTGACTTCGTGGTGGTATCGTTGGCCGACGTCGCGGCGGTATCGTTGGCCGACGTCGCGGCGGTATCGTTGGCCGACGTCGCGGCGGTATCGTCGGCTGACTTCGTGGTGGTATCATTGGCGGATGTCGCGGGAGGCGTTTGGCGAGACTCTGTGCTTGGGACGGAGATGCTCGTATCTTCGTGCGGACTCGTAGCACAAGACGATGAGCGCAATAACGCGCCGCCGTCCGCAGATGGTGATGAGTGCTGAGTGTCGCCGGAGCGTGAGGATTTGCGCGGTTCATCTGGTTCAGGAGCGGAGGGCGACGCGGAAGTCACGGGAGAGGAAGGAGGAAGACGCGGAGGAGCTCCCTCGAAGGAATCGACAGATCTATCGCGATTTCGGGGGACGTGCGCCCAAGATATGGACGCGGAGTCAAGTGGATCATCCGGTAATTTCTTCTGCCCTTTGTGCTTGTTCGTCCGACTATGTTTGGTCTTTGTTCGAGGTGTGGGTTTGCGAATTGAGGACTCCGTGTTGGTAGAAGGTGCCTGGTCGTCGACAATGATGATGACGTCCTTATCGGTGGATTGATTATCGGGCTCCTTCAAGGCACGAGCAGCACATTCCTCTGGGGCTACGGATAACGGTGAACCCGACGCCGGAGGGTCAAAGCAAGCATGAACTCACTATAAACTCTCTCTAAGAATTTTGCGTACGCCTCCTCGAAGTCCGGGTAGCCTTTGTACGCCGCTTGGAACGTGTTGCCGTTGAGGGTTTGGCCGATGCTGATGCTGTTGACTGCATTAGCGAATTGGTCCGTCATGTAGCGGGGACATTACTGACGAATAGGTATTGAGTGAACCACCTCGTGACGGGCGTGGGCCGCCCATAATTATGAGCGCGCACCATCCTGTCTGCTCTTGAAGGCGTTGAAGAGCGACCTTGAGGGTATGAGGGACGTTGCTGAGAGCCCTGGAAAACGCGCGTGAGATGTCGCCCCCGTGAGCAAGACACAATTAAGTTACTCTTCGTAACTCCTAGCCTTCGCTGTCTCTGGATCAACGTCGCTGTTTTCGCGCTCAAAATCTGGTGCATCCTCGTCACGTAAGTAACCTGAATCTCTATATTCCTCCACGAGCTGCATTGTCTGTTCGTCGATAGCGTTCAACCGTTCTGTCATCAAGCGGTGGAGAAACTTCAAATAGTCTCTCTGATCGAGCGCCTCGTCCGCGTGCTCTTCCTTGTACTTCCTCCAGCCGGCCGCGATCTCGTCTCTCCATTCCTCCCTCTTCAAGCGAGCAAGAGCCTGCCATAGCTGAGGGGGTCGCCTCTTCGACCCGGTAAGATCAAGTACACGAGAACACCCATTCCTGGGGGCCCCGGAGGTTGCGCGACCACGGTTGTTGATCCAATTGCGTACTTTCTGTACGCCAATGCGCATCAATGCTCATACAACATGATATGAAGTAAGTATGACCTACATTCTCAGCGCTTCGCTTGCGTGTCAAATACTCAGGATGCTGATACGCCTCCTTCAGGCTTCCTGCTTCCTCTATCTTGGTCTTGCTGGGCACGACAGGCCATCGCATGAAGTAGTCTGCCATGCAATGCAACCAGAACTCAGTGACAGCGTTTCTATCGCCTTTGCAAGAAAGATAAGCCTTTAGCTGCTCCTTGACGAAGGCTAACTCATCGTTGTCCCAGTGAACTTGAGGCATGGCGAGGAAGACAGTGACTTCAAGTTCGGATCGTCAGCAGCAATTCCAGGGCAAGCGACTACGACAAGCTTGGTGCGCATTTGTTTAACTATTGCGGAGCGAATGTTCGAGCATCCCGAAGAGCCTCGGTCGCCGTTATGGCCGTCGTGGCGGCCTTTTTGCTATGGTTATTCCGCCGTCGTCCGAAGGCCTTCTGTCGGACTTGTCTGCCGGCGAGAAAGGATTGTTGATCGTGTGAGGAAGAACAAATTTTCTCTCTCCGCGTACGCCCGAGATCGTTGCCAACGAGGACGCGGCGTGTTTGACATCATGAACCGTACGAACTCCCCTGTTTTTTTCTTGAACGTTCCATTCCTCTTGACTTCTTTCTATCACCTTCTGCACTCCTGCTCCTCAACTCACCGCCGGCGCTGTCTCTTCGTGTCCTGGGTTGTCAAAAATGCCTAGCACTGGTTCAGGAACTGGGACTGGACCGGTACGTTGCCGCAGAATTTTTCTATGAACGCTCTGACTTTCCTATTTTTGGTAGCCAAGGGTCCCCACTCAGATGGAGATCTTGGCAATTTTTGCCGACGCGATCCGTGAACTTGTCACCCAGACATCTACGCCGACACGTTCTGGGCTCATCGACGCTTTGTTGGGTCCTATCGTTGCTCTGCATGCCGAACTGCATCATGGTAGGCGTTCCCAACCTTTTGTTTCTCATAGCTTACGTTTGGCGCAGTGGACCAACCTGCGCACACTCCGGTTGAACCACTCCGCGGCATCAATATCACCGAAGACGACCCTGATTACCAAGAATTGGCGAGTCTTCATGCGTCACTCAATGAAGATTTTTCGGCGTCCCCGGCGTCCCCAATCAAGCAGCGCGCCCCTCTCTACTTCCCCCCGCAATCACCATCACCCGTGCCTCCGGTCTTGTCGTCATCCACGGTGAACACGAGCCGTACCTCCCGGCTGCCGGCGAGTGCGCCTACGACCCCGCTTACTAGCCGATCAGTTGGTGTTCCCGACCGAGATCGCGGCCCAGTCGGTGGTGTTACTCGATCGCGTTATGCGACTTCTTGCCGTGACCCCTCCGAATCGAGCACCTCGACTTATCACCCAGTCCAGTGCAACGAATCTGTTTCATCTTCTCTCGCCTCGAATGTACGAACACCACGAATGCCGAACATCTCGACCTCCGCAACCGAACGTCACGTCACCTTTGCACCGACGCCAACATCGTCGCCTGCTTCGACCGCTCGAGTCTCGCAGGTGTCGTCTTCCGAGAGCTACGTCATTGCGGATAGTAGCGACATCATTACATCTGTCGATGGCTTGACCCTTGCAGACAATCCAGAAGGAGTCGTATATCATCTTCCAACCCGCGAGCAATGCAGAAATGCCAAGAAGTTCTACGTTGTCGTCGTGGGTACTGAGGTCGGCATCTTCACCCTCTGGTAAGTTCGATGTTGCGTTAAATCGGGAATGCACTCATTCTGTGCTGTAGGGCTACAGCCCGCACCGCGTCCCATTGCTCCGGGGCGATTATGGAGTCATTCGCTACTTACGACACTGCATTCAAAGCTTTCCGTGACTCTCTCAGGCTAAGGAACGTTAGGATTGTGTAGGAGAATATTCAGACGTCATTCCTTAGTGTAGTTTCTTGCAGAGTGTTGGAAATGGAATGTCGCTTCAGAATAATCCAGCGTTCGTGTGATTGCACATCGGAAGCTCTACGAGGAAGCCACGAGCGTGCTAAGTGTGGTGCATGAACAGCTCGCATATGCAAGCTTGATGAGAGCCTATATCAGGAGCAATTATCGCCGTTTGTGCAACTAAACGATTGCAAGACACCGGAGGGCTCCGAGTCAGCTCGAAGGCAGACTTGTTTCTCGGGGTATGCTCACGAGTTGGTGCTACATATATATGAAATGTAACTAGACAGAGCACAGTATATCAAGAATGGCATACAGCTCGCATTTACGCGAGAGCTTAACAGGAGCGAGTCGATGACGGTAATCGCATGTGTAGAGTAGCGTGATGCATGCTTCAAAGATAGCATCGGTACCGGATGCATGTACATGTACATCACGGTGCACATTGCGTCCATCGTGTCGCAACCACCGCACTACTCAACTTAGCAGCCAATATAAAATTGCATATCAATAGTAAGTCCGTGAAGCTACGGTCGTACCGGGATGTCGATGACCGGTACCACGATTGTGGCAGCCGAGGATGAGCAAGTGAACTGAGTGCAACGGTTTCTCTGTCGAAGACTCAGATTTGCCCCCTTATACCACAATGTCTCCTAAAATAACTATCCTAAGCTATCCTGGGACGTGAACATCGCCGCCAAACTATGCGGCACACCTTGTCATTAAACGAGATCGCGTACATCTTCAAGTCATACATGATGCGATTGCTCACGAAGTCTCATCCGCAGGATAAGCAATGTCGACCCAGAGTTAATTAAGCATATTAAAGTATATTGGCACATCCTAACTATGTACTCTCTTACACTGACATCTCTTGATAACATCTGTAAGGCGAAGGTCTAGTGAGCAAGGTATACAATATCAAGCAGCGCTACATAGTGTTCACGTGTTACAGTGTGTACGCGGAACTCGCGTACAAGTCACTCACTCCGACGTCCACTACGACCCGGTCACGGTGGTCATCACGTCCCGAATGCAAGACTGGACTAGCACTTGTCTCGATGGTCAAATCAGGCACCTCCGCTTCTTCCTCCGCCCCTCGAAAGAAACGCACTCGGACGGTTCTCCCGAGTTTCAAAGAGGCTGGAGCACGTTCGTCAGCTCGCGTTCACCGGTCAATAACCTTGAAAGTCCACGCCGGCGGACGAATTGGAGGCGCCGAGCGAATCACGAAGCCCGAGCGCTCGCCATCACCCAGTGATGCCAACCATGGTATTGATATCGACATGGACGACACTGTGAGCCGTCCTCTCGAGGAGCCTACGACGACGAGTCCGAGTCAGATTGCCAGCAAGGCAAATCGTAAGCAGAAGACTATCGGGGTTTGTAAACCTGCTCATTCTGTTTGTTCCTTGCTTTCTGATTCTATTGCCCGCCACGTAGCATCGGATGCGTCTATGGCTCCCGTTACGGGCAAAATACCTGGACGCTCTCATATGCCAGGACGCACTTCCAACAGATGTACCGGTTGCATGTGTGTTGTGCCACGCCAAGCAGAACGCTGGAACCTATAAATGCACGGACTGCTTTCGCGAGCGGCTCTTATGTGCCGCTTGCATGGTACGTACTCATGAACGTCTGCCGCTGCATCATGTCCAGGTTGGTGATCCGTTACACTATGACCTACGCACTACTGACGAACTAAAGGCTTGGAAGGACGGTCACTTCAGCAATACATCCCTTCGGTCCCTCGGCCTGGCAGTTCAACTGGGGCACAACGAAGGCGATAGCTGCGTGCAATCTGAACGTCCCTCCAAAGATTTTGTGGTATTTGACTCTGATGGATATCATCACGTCGATGTCCGCTTTTGTGGATGCAGTCATCGCTCGCATCAGGAACAGTTGTTGGAAGTCGGCTGGTATCCTGCATCTACGAGGCGCCCGTCCACCGCGTTCACCTTCCGCTTTCTGGATACGTTCCACCGGCTCACTTTGCAAGGCAAGATTACTCTCCACGATTACTACACAAGCGTAGTGCAACGAACCAATAGTGCCGGCCTAATACCTCCGATTGTGAGCGAAATACTTCTATCTGCACTTTGAGTCAATGTTGATCAGATATGGGCAGTATCGATATCACGAAGCGTGCCTGGTGACCCGGCAATGGGCAATGTTAATGATGTTCAAGAGAGCAGGCCGCGCACATGATCCGCAAGGCGCAGAGGCGACGCCGAAGGGCGGGCTCGCGCTCAGGTGTCCTGCTTGCCCAATTCCGGAGGTCAATCTCCCTGAAAATTGGGATTCAATGCCTGAAGAGCAAAGGTGGGATCTATACTACCAGTAACGCGACACTATGGCGATCCGTGACTGACATCTTGCTACCAGATGGAAGTACAGTTCGTTCATCGCGCTAGACGCATGTTTTCGGCTTAAGTTGAAGGACCGCGAAATCGACGACCCAGAGCTCTGCTCAGGTCTGGCATACTTCGTAAACGAAGACGAGTATCAAGATCACCTGCGGGAGACTGCAGACGAGCCTGAGGTACGGCTACATGACTATGCGATGATCAATATCCTGATGGTGCTGTCGTTCAAGGAGCCTAGTTCTTCCTGCGACACGAACTTCAACGCAATCACGCAACTTAACACGAAGAACAGTGGCGACAAATATGCCGTCTCGGGGGTCGTTGCCGCCAAATGCGGGCGCCACGCACTCATCCTTCCAAATGGTGTTGCGGATCTGAAGAAAGGTGAAAGGTACGATAGCGATCACCCGACCTTGCTGCAAATTTGATTGAAGAATCCTGTTCCAGATATGTTAGCACGGACTGGGTTTTCTGGTCTTCTCTGCTCGCTATCGGCATGACGCTCGTCGTTTTGTCATACGACATTGCGTGCAAATGGTCGCTTCACCTCAAGGATCGCGTCAAACCGTTCTCGTCGACTTTTGGCAATGTCGTAAATGCGACGATTCGGTTTTTCATTCCGAGCCTTCACATCATTGCGCACGGGCCGAAATGCCGTTGCACCTTCAGCTTCAGCTTCAATCGCTGGGTCGGGCGTACACACGGCGAGACGATTGAGCAGGAGTGGGCGCATATCGGCGCCGTTGCTACTAGCACGCGAGAAATGGGACCCGGTGCACGACATGCAACACTGGACGACCATTGGCATTTCTGGAACTTTCGCAAGATTGTCGCCATGGGTAGGTGTCTCCGACTCCAGTACTCCGTGATACCCTGCTCTAACTACGGATGTACTGTAGGTTCTAGTTTTCGTGTCGCTTTGAAGAAGACCTTGGCCGAAAGAGACCTCCACCGCCGCATCTTAGACGAGAAGGCCGAATGTCAGTCACCGGAGAAGATTGCGGAATGGGAGGCGGTCGTAAACGCATGGGAGAAGGATCATTCGAAGGAGAATCCGTTCGAGGACGGCGATGACAGTGAGTAATTGCGTTATACCGCAGTTCTATTCTACAAGCTTAAATATCCCTGTAGCTCTTACATTCTCCGAGGTCCGCTTGAAGCTTGCACAAGAAGAAAGTCGTACGGCACGCGATGGCGCTCTTCATGAAACTACCGGGGCCACACTGATACGCAACCTCCTTGTTCTAGAGGAGAAACAGTATGTTGCTCCATTCATTTGATTCATATATCGAAACTCATTCTTTCTAGGCGTCATCTTCTCGCCGATATGAAAGCAGCTACGAAGTCGCGTACAACTGGTGATGTCCAAGCCGCGTTACAGGAGCGCCGTATGGCCCTTCGCCGTTCCCTGCAGCAAGCATACTCCGTGCAAGACGTCTACATGCCCGCCGCCATAGAGCAAAGGGAGAAAGTGTTACACGCCGCCGAGCTCGAAGACAAGGTCCTTGAGCCGGAACGCATGCCTATTGTTCTGCCTTCGACGCTCTCCGAAGAAGAGCGAGTTAACGGCTGTCTGCGGCATGTCGTAGCCCAAGAGGCGGCGTTACGTGAGGCGAAGGCCGACGACTACTTGCTTTGCCTTCGTCGACATCGCCGGGCATGGGTGGCACTTCTGCGCCGTTACAAGGTCAATCAGGGCCCCCGCAGCGGCGTGTATAACACACGCAACCGCAGTGTCCTCTCCTCGCTCCAGAGAAAAATCGACAGAGCCGTCGAAGGATATCGCATTTCGTATCACGCCCTCAAGAAGCTACATCCGAACGGCGACTGGAGCCGCCGACTTCGCCCGCTCCTTGACAGCGACATCACCGGCCCTGGAATTGAGCCGGACTCCGGTGTTTCGCATCGGCACTACGTCGAATCCTGGATCTGGCGCGTTCGGCCCAAGCACGGCATCGCTGGCCGTGAACTGAACGAAGAGGAGGCAGCAGATGAACACGAAAGAAGAGAATGGGCACGGCAGTACGCACGTTTCAAACGATGTGAAGAAGAAGTCGTCTTGCTGGAGGAGGAAATGCGTCGTGTTCTCGTGACATTCAACTGGAAGGCTCTGTGGTGGGAAAGTCAGATTGGTCGCCGCACTGTTGAAGACTCACGTCTAATGAGGGGACTGAGCGCCTACGCCCGGCACCAAGCAGCGATTCAGCGGGGGATGATTGCTGCATGCGCGACACAATGGAAGCCGGTTTTGACCGGAGCGAACCTTGGTGGTGACTGGATTAACAAGTGGCCGACCCTCCCGGTATGTCTCGCGTCAATTTCTCTCCTCTTATTCATTCATTCTATGTAGACATGGACCTCGAATCACTCTGCGAAGAATCCCCGTACTCCCCACGACAACTCTGCTTCCAACGCCATCGAAGTCGGGCTTTCCGCAGACAGCTTGGAGGAGGAGGTTGATGACGTAATCGGCAATTCCGACTCCGACTCCGACTCTGATTTCGAGAGAGACGCGAACAACATCGACATAGACTATATGACCATAGATAACTAGATGCATAGAATACAATCATTCGGTTTTGTGGATCACAAACAGCTGGGTGCAGTAATGCAAGTATTGTAATGTGCAGTAGGTAGGTGAGATGTTTAATTTGCTATCCACAAGTGTCATGAATGCTTGTGGATACCCTTACACAGCTATAAACTGAATAATACCACTACAATTTCACAGTGACCAGCACTGAATGTGAAAACTGTTCAAGTGGGCAGCTTGATGCATCCTTGCATGGGAACCATTGACCAGAACTTCAACCCGGTAACAAGAGGTGGGCAGGTTGATGGATCTTGCACATTGTTGTTGTTGTCTGCTGTGGCACCCGTTGTCATAGCTTCATGCTCACCTTGCCTGCCCATCATTGTCGTGGTGCGCTGGTATACGAGAGCCCACCACCGTCGTCCACTGCTGTAGTGCCCGCCGTCGTAGCCTCATGCTCACCTTGCCTGCCCACCATTGTCGTGGTGCGCTGGTATGTCAGTGCCCACCACCGTTGTCAACTGATGTAGTGCCCGCCGTCGTAGGTTCATGCTCCCCTTGGGTGCCCACTATTGTCGTGGTGCGCTGGTATATGAGAGCCCACCACCATTGTCAACTGATGTAGTGCCCACCGTCGTAGGTTCATGCTCCCCTTGGGTGCCCACTATTGTCGTGGTGCGCTGGTATACGAGAGCCCACCACCGTCGTGGACTGATGTAGTGCCCGCCGTCGTAGGTTCATGCTCCCCTTCGGGTGCCCATCATTGTCGTGGTGCGCTGGTATACGAGAGCCCACCACCGT